ACCACCACCACTACCATCATCACCACCATCACCACCATCATCATGACCACCATCATCACCACCATCACCACCATCACCATCATCATCACCACCACCACCACCATCACCATCATCACCATCACCACCATCATCACCACCATCATCATCACCACCATCACCATCATCACCAACATCACCATCACCACCATCATCATCACTTCCACCACCATCACCACCACCACCATCATCACCACCATCATCATCACTACCACCACCATCACCACCACCATCACCATCATCACCACCACCACCATCATCACCACCATCATCATCATCACTACCACCACCACCACCACCATCACCACCATCACCATCACCACCATCACCACCACCATCACCACCACCACCACCACCATCACCACCATCATCATCACCATTATCATCATCACCATCACCACCACCATCACCATCATCACCACCACCACCACCATCACCATCATCACCATCATCACCACCATCACCACCATCATCACCATCATCACCACCATCATCATCATCACTACCACCACCACCACCACCATCACCACCATCATCATCACCATTATCATCATCACCATCACCACCACCATCACCATCATCATCACCACCACCACCACCATCACCATCATCACCACCATCACCACCATCATCCTCACCACCATCACCATCACCACCATCACCACCATCATCCTCACCACCATCACCATCACCACCATCACCATCATCACCACCATCATCACCATCATCATCACTACCACCACCACCATCATTGTCACCACCACCATCATCATCAGTAAACATCACATACCCAGTGTGTAGCTGAACCCCAACAGAACCCAAGCATGTCTGACCTCCAAGCCCATTTGCTGTTTCTTCTTGCCTCCCAGTTTCTAATGACCATTCTGCACAGGGCTCTCCTGGTCTTACCCATGTCTACTGAGAAAATGATTCTCAGAATATTAACTGGACCAGGAAGAGTTGCAAGACATAACACAGTCCTGTTTACCAATTTTGTACATGTCAATAATGACATCAGACCAATCAGTGTTCTTAGCCTCTGGGTGTGAGGCAAAAATTCTCCCGCTCTCCCCTCAGGTCTCCAGACTTTCCCTTTGATAATCCAAACTCTAAATGTTGGAGCCAAGGGTCAGCCCCTTGTCAGCAATCACTGGGCATTTTTAGGGACCCTGCGCCACCTGCCTCCCCCTCCTCCTGAGGACTTGTCTTGAGGTCACCATCAGCTTCCCGGCCCTCAGAAATGGCATCTCTACTTCAGCCACAGGGTGGCAGCACCTCTCCACAGATTACATCAACTCAGAGGTGGCTTTTCCACTAGCATCAGGATGTCTGTCTTGCTCAGAAAGCAGATACAAGAGCAGAAACACTCAAATAAATTATTTTTTCAGCAACATATTTTGAGAAGGGTGCTTCCTCCACACATCTACTTAGTTCAAGGAATGCACCACCCTGCCCAGTGCTCTTGTGGTCAGGCTCTTGTCTTCCTCCAGGGCAGCTCTGCCTAGCCAGGGCTGAGCTCGGCTTTGGAACATGACACTCAGACAAGCCTCCCATGTACTTGCATAAATTCCAGATCAAGTGTAAGTTTCCTGAACCCAAGACAATTATGTAAATTTAGTCAAACTCTTTGAGGAAGAGACACTACCTTATTTCTAGGCTGTTCCATGCTAGCAAAGCAAACATTTTTTGCAAAACTTTGGTGAAAGCCAGCCTGGCAAAATTGGAAAACTGAATTATTTGTGAAAACACTGAGACATCCCTAAGTATGTCCATATGTAAAAACAACATTTTCTCTGGAAATCTTGCAAATACTCTATTTCAGTTTGACAATGATGAAAAGCAGTTTTTCACAAAAGAAATGCAACTAGCAAAACAAGCATACAGGAGAATGTTCACTCTCCCTAATTGTCAAAGAATTGTAAATCAGAAAATGAATCAGGAAAATTTCCACCTATTATATTAGTTAGTATTAAAAAAAATTGAATACTCATAAGGGTGTAGTAAGGTGATTTTTTTTTTTAGTGACATTATACATTGTCACACTCTTTTAGAAAATAATTTGGCAATGCTATTGGAAACCATAAAGATGTCTATATAATTTCTGAGAATATAGATTTAAGAAAATATTAAGGAATAAGAATAAACTGTATGAAAAAAAGACATGGAACACTGGAAGCAAGCGCTGAAGCCAACAAGCACAGTGATGCAGCATTTGGGTAATTACTGACAGCCCCAAATTCAAGGCAAACCACGCGAACTCTCTGAGCTTGTTTCCTGAAGAGCAGACATAACAAAAGTGCCTACTTCATAGGACTGTTGTAAGGACTAAGTAAGATACAACATATCATGAGCTTATGCCCCAAAAGGTTAATTCTTGGTAAATGATAGCTGTTCCTTTTTTATTGCAATAAAATATACATGGCATAAAATTTACTATTTTAACCATTTTGAAGGGTATGACTGAGTGGCATTTAGTACATTCACTATGTTGTATAATCATCAGCATGTTTCCAGAATGTTTTTCTCACCCCAAAAGGAAACCTCATACCTATTAAGCAGTCACTCCCCATTAAAATATTTTTTAAGATTTTTATTAAAAAATATTTATAAGATTTTTAGCATTTATAAAAAAGTCCTTATGATATAATGTTGAGTGAAAAATCAGGCTATGAAATTGTGTGATATGATATAGGTGGTAAAAGAAGCATATTAAAAGCCTGAAAAAGAATATAATAAAAATAGTAGGAATTGTATTTCTCAAGCTCTTTTTACCTATTAAAAAATTATTGGTTTATAATTTTAAAAGAAAAGCAAAAAGTACACAAACAACAAAACCCCGGACACTGTAAAGAAGGCCCAGGTTGTTACATCCAGGTCGTGGGAACATCACACCTTTTACATAACCTTTATACTTCCAAGGGTCAAAAAGAATCCTCCTACTCTTAGGACTGACTCTTTGTGTTATCCAGCCTTGTGGACAAGCAACACCAATGCACTGCTGCTCTGTGGTTCTGGAAGTTTCCTCCAGGAACATGTTTTGGATGCAGTAACCATTTCTTTAATATTTTACACACAGGTACCTCTGGTGCTGGCATTCTCAAGGAAGCTCAGCTGCCTGTGATTGAGAATAAAGTGTGTAATCGCTTCGAGTATCTGAATGGAAGAGTCAAGAGTAACCATTTCTTTAATATTTTACACACAGGTACCTCTGGTGCTGGCATTCTCAAGGAAGCCCAGCTGCCTGTGATTGAGAATAAAGTGTGTAATCGCTTCGAGTATCTGAATGGAAGAGTCAAATCGACTGAGCTCTGCGCTGGGCACTTGTCTGGAGGCACTGACAGTTGCCAGGTGAGAAGTT